GTAACAAGTGACAGGACAAAAGGAAGTGGCTTCAAGTTTCCACAGGAGAGGTTTAGGAGTAGAATTAGGATTAAGTAAAATTTCTTCACCCATAAAAATTGCCAAGCCCAGGAAGAGGCAGCGCAGGGCAGTGGTGGAGTCACCTGAGGCCATCATTTAGTGGTGGATTTGGCAGTTCTGGGGTAATGGTGGGACTTGATCTTAAAGGTCTTTTCCAACCTAAATGATTTGATGATTTTCAAAGAGGAGCACAAGCTAAAGGAACAGACTTTTACAATGATCAACTCGCTGACTGATTTTTCTTATGACCTTCAGTATGAAGGTTCTCAGACTAAATTAATGGAAGGAGGCACTACAGAAAGTACAGCAGTGTTGCAAAACACTGGAGTTGGGGAGGAAAGCACAAGGAGGCAGAAGATTAACTTTTGTACACTCACGGGGAATGTCAGATAATTTGTAGAATGAAGACTTTTTTTTTAGCAGTGACACTTTTTGTTAGTGATGTAAAAACGCAAAGCACATGTGTTTGTGGTGGACTCTAATGAATCACTGCAAAGAAAATAGAAATACCATCTCTACTTCAATGCTGAGGGGTGAGGTATGATAAATTCTGTACAAAAAGCAAGCATTTTCTTGTTAAAATAGGAGTAGAACAAAATAAAGGGGAAGGGAAGTATTTATCAAGGTCTTAGTGAAGATTACGATATCATATATTATGATGAATCAGTGACAATGACAGTTCTTCTCTGTCTCACCTACAGGCTTTGCACAGGGTTATTGTCCATATCCACAGCCATGGATCTTCTTTAAGACTGAGCAAAAATGGCCCTCAGCTTCCATAAAGTGCTTTTACTTTATCTGGATTTGGCAGTAGCACTTGGGAATTGTAAAGGTTTTGTGCACACACTTTTGGATCAATTAAATTAGACTGTTTGCATTATTTAAGCTGACTTCCAAATTAAATACAAAGCTTTTAAATATACCAATTTGAGCAAAAAAGGTATTAAATCTCACTGTGATTTGTTTTTTGTTTTTGTTTTGTTTCCTCTTGTCAGTTTTCAAAGCCTAATGAGAACAGTGCTGATTATCCCGAAATGGCTAAGGAAGCAGGTAATTTAATAATAAAGCATTTTGTTTGATTGCTGATGCTTATTTTAAGTCTTACAGTTAATATTTTTATTATACATATGTCTAATCACATATTATACATATGCTGTTCAGTAAGTAGATATATATAAAAAGAAAAGACCACTCTCACAAAATCCATAACTGACCTGTCCACCTCGCTGTCTCCAATGCCAAAGTCAGGAGGATGGCTTAAAATTGGATTGGGCCCTTAAATAATTTAATACTTAGTTATAGTATTCAAAATATACTTTCATTGGGATGAACAACCTTTGTGCAGGAACACAATTGAATGAAATTTGCTGATAAACAAACTTGTTCAGAACTCAAAACAGTGTGAAATTGTCCTTGTGAGTATTAAGGTACAAGACTATATTAACCATTTCATCATATAACAATGAATTTGTACGACTCTCTTTTTCTAGTTTGAATGCAGGAATTGTACATACTACTACATAGTACAGCAACTAGGGTTGCTTGTTATGGTTGTGAGAGCTGCTTTTTTTTTTTCCCTTCAATTTTAATTTTTTTTTTCAACTTGTAACTGTTTTTTAGGCCAGGCAGCTTTAGCTGATGCTGGGATTCCTTACTCAGCAGTGAAGCAGGCGTGTGTGGGTTATGTTTATGGTAAGTAATGTTTGATTGGGATGTGACATCCATGGCAGTTGCAGGTATCTGTGTGGATAAAATTTATCCACATCTGTGTGGATAAAGTATGGGGGAATCCCATCCATAAGCTTTCTATTATGGGGAAACCTATGTAGAGAGAGTTTTGCATTTACTTTCTTCCTGCTTCTCTCTTAATGGCTGTATTATGGCAACAGGGTCAGTCAGCTGTGATACCTAGAGCAGCTTTCAAGCTGCACCTCTAAGTCCTTTCTGCCCCTTTATCACAGAAGCCTGTTATCACAGAAGCAGGACAAACTTCTGTCTTTAAAATCTGATGAGTTTCACCTTTTTTCTGAGGTTCTTTGCTG